CTTTTATGCAATGTCACCTCAACATCCGACAAACAAACAACAAAACAAGATGACTGCCCTCGCTATTCTTGTTTAAATGTGCGTACTGCCACTGTTTACCTCACGAGTCTTGAGGTTTGTCATACCTATTTTGTCACGATCACAGGCGACAATACGTGACGTGCACTGCGAGGGTGGCCCTGTCTAACATTTTGCAGTTTCCTGCGTCAGGCCTTCTTAGCACTTGCAGCGTTGATTAGCCTCGTAGCAACGGCATGGCTGCTTCAGGAAGTCAACGCGTCCATACTCACCTGCCATAAGTTCCATCACGCCTTTTTCCCAACTGCCACTCAGCTGGCCAAATGCGCAACATCTGGGTTCGGTTGATAAGATTACAGGTGACGAAACTAACACGCGGGAGTCGCGGGCGATTTAGCCCACGAAATGCCACAAAAACAGAGCCACCGGAAATATCCAAACAGATGAGCCCCGGTTATATTTGCATTAGGTTCATGCAAGTATTCCAAATTTTAGAGTTACGCTAAATTTCTCCATGGCACGCGACGCTTGAAAAAGTAGCCCAGCCGAAGAAATAACACTTATCATTTTTTCATTCCCTCGCTCACAGGATTTCAACCCCATATGTGGTCCTGCTTGGGAACCGCAGCCTCTCTTTGGTGTTGTGTTCCAATTAGAGCTGCTGCCGTAGGGAGGTTATTTTCTCCTTCTCCGCTTGACTTCTGTTTGGAATCATGTTTTGTAGCTGCTAATTCTTCGAAGCCACTCACTCGGCTGCGGTTCACTAAACCATAGAGACGACGAATCCTCGTCCAGTCATGTCCCATGGGACAGTCTTCGCGTACGTTGCAGCAGCGTTGCCGAACAGTGCTTGCGACATGCGTCCCATGTAGCCATCAGGGTACTGATCCTTGCCACTGAGCCTGCCAAATCAGTCTCATTCCCCTGTTTGAGGAAGAAGGCATGCACTGTCAATCCAGCCAGTAATGCATTGAAAAACATGCCAGTGCCTCGTTTGCCTGACTTCTCTCGCCAATATTGCCGACTATCTGGTGCTTGCATCGCTATATTGTCTGTTAGTCATCTTAATCTGTTCCGAAGGCAACCCATAAATTCATCAGACATTTCAGACCTCTTTAGTAACAGCTATGATCTACCACATCAGATGGTCAAACAGTTCGGATTCATCACTTTTGTGTGTCCTCTGACAGCCATGTCCATTACATGCGACATATTTTGTTCCTCGAGTCTGCTCTCTTTCCATTGTGAGCAAGGACAAAACATTAAAGTCGGACAGCATTCTTTGGATGAGCACACAAACTCTCATCGTCCCAGCATGCTTATGGATTGCTTTGTCATCATTCATTTTCATGTACCTCACATTTTCTTGGCAAGAGAACTGGACAACCAACTTTCCCTGTTTGTTGTCATTGTTTACGAAGGAAGCCTGGCAGTTGCACTGGAATCCCGTGGCTGAAGTTTTACACGAACGTCTGATACACAACCTCGTTTCTCCTTGTCTGCGTCTTTTTCAAACCTGATCTGACGAATAAACATCCCACACGATATCACTTCGTACTGGCATTTTCAGTTACCTTCAACTACATATCGGCCTAAGAAGACCTCCTGAGCGTAATCCTCGAAGGTGCCACAGGTACCAGGCACCAGAAAGTGAACCACTGCAGGACCGTCAAGGACTTTAGCATTGACTACCGCAAGCAAGTCGACTTTAGCAAGGACCATTAATAATTGTCACATTTCCTTCGAGACAGTCCAAAAGCTTATGCTTGTCACCTTGTCGCAGCTGACCTCCCGTTGCGAGTGACGGTGGAGTGGACTGGTTTTCATGCCTGAAGAATTCATCAATATTACCATCTCTCCTTTGACTGGAAATGTACAACCTTGAAAACAGAGCCCTGTCATTCTTCAGCTCAACCAACCTCCTTGCTGTATTGGTCTTTTCGACGCCAGGCGTGCTGAACATAGATTGTTGCGAGGAATGGTGTCTCGAATTGATTTCGAATTGGACTTTAAGCGCTCATCCACGAATCGGTCATATTTAGACTTCCCCAGTGAATGGACATTCCTCATGGCTTTTACAACTTTCTCTGGCATGATAGCTTTGGAATTGAGATTTAGCAAATCCATGCTCTCTTCCATGAATGGGTTGCCCATCTCTTCAATTGTGGCCACCAGTGACTGTACATCTTGGACAAATTTCGCCTGGACGCTTTTCATCTGTTCGTGGTGGCGATCAGAGGTATTGGCTGTCCCACTGTCGTCGAAGCCATCCTCAAACTCTTCAACTAGTCTTGCTATCTCAGGTCCAGCTACCATCCATCTCCTAAGTGCTCCAGGGTTTTCAGTTAGCCCAACTGCTCCACCGTCACCCTTAACTAGTGCATTTACCTGTTCGTGTGCATGGTCCAGCGAAATGGCAGAGAACGGTCAGCTTGTCTTGTTGGCAGTGAATCCTCCACGTTTGAACTCACGAAAGACATTTGGGCATCTCTCTTCTAATGTTGACATATCTCGCACATGGACCGGTAACCAGCAGGCATAGTTTGGGTGAGGCAATGCAAAGAATTCCAATTCCAATGCAAAGAACCAGGGTATCAAATCGGTTTGTGATGCAATGTACAGGTCAAAATCTGACACTCGCAGGGACCTTACAAACTGGAAGATAGTTAGATAGTTAAACCTGTAGCATTGTGTAGGTATGGCAGCCATCTTGGAATCCAATATGGCAGAATCCTGATGTTTATAATATTGATTTCGTTGGATTTCTCGACCCTGAAATTGCGGGTAGGCCACTGGAATTGCCTTCCTATCTGCCTTAGTTTCCAAGTTATAGTCAATTATGTTTATCATAGCGGCCATCTTGGAATTTAATATGGCGGACACCTGACGTTCCTAATAATAGTTCCACTAATTTTCCCTGAATTCCTTGACCCTGAAACGGGGGTTAGCTACTGACAACTAATTTCTATCTTCTTTAGTTCAAAGTTATAGTCATATTTGCTTATAATAGCGGCCAACTTGGAATCCAATATGGCGGACACCTGATGTTCATAATAATGTTTCACTGATTCCTTGACCTAAAAATGGGGGGTTAGCACATTAAAATTACATTTCTATCTGCCTTAGCTTTTGAAGATAGAGGCAAAAGTATGTCCAGCCTGGCGCCCCC